TGGCTCAAGTGGTAGAGCGCTAGCCTTGAGCTGAAGAGCTGAGGGACAGCGCCCAGGCCCAGAGTTCAGGCCCCACAACCGGACCCCCCCCCCAAAAAAAAAGAGGTCCTGAATTCAAACCTCAGTGTCACCAAATTTTTTTTAAAAAAGAAAATTCTGAACCAGCTCAGGGGAAGTTCATGTGTTCAGTAGTGTGAGATTCAATCTACAGTAAATCTCTATTACTGCTTCCCTCCTCATCCATAAAGAAAAAAAGCTAAAGTTTCTAAATTCCTAGATTTTTTTTTTTTCTTTTTAAGGTGGTAGTACTGGCCGGGAATGTGGCTTCATGGTAGAATGCTTGCCTAACATGCATCAAACTCTGGGTTCCATTCCTCAGCACCACATAAACAGAAAAAGTTGGAAAGTGGCTGAAGTGGCTGAGTGCTAGCTTTGAGCAAGAAAGCTTAGGGACAATGCCCAGGCCGTGAGGTCCAGCCAGGACTGGCACACACACATGCACACGCACACAAATCTAGCTCCAGCCAGGCTTAGTGGTGAATATTTATAATTTCAATATTCTGGTGGTAAAGATAGGAGGATCATGAGTTTGAGGCTAGCCTGGCTGTTTTGTTGTTTTGTTTTTGTTGGTCATGGGGCTTGAACTCTGAGCTTGGACGCTATTCCTGCACTCTTCAGCTCAAGGTGAGTGCTCTACCGCTTGAGCCACAGCACCACTTCTGGTTTTCTAGTGTTTTTTTTTTTTTTTTGTCGGTTGTGGGGCCTGACCTCTGGGCCTGGGTGCTGTCCCTCAGCTCTTCAGCTCAAGGCTAGCACTCTACCTCCTAAGCCACAGCACCACTTCCTGCTTTTATTGCTTATGTGGTGCTGAGGAATCAAACCCAGGGCCTCATGCATGCAAGGCAAGCACTCTACCACTGAGCCACCTTCCCAGCCCATCTAGTGGTTTATTGGAGATAAGAGCCTCATGGAGTTTCCTGCCTGGGTGATCCTCAGATCTCAGCTTCCTGAGTAGCTAGGATTATAGGCGTGAGCCACGGGCGCCCGGTTTAGCTTGGGTGTTTTAAGGAGGTACTGCCACACACAAAAAGAAAAAGGAAATAAAATCCAGATGCACAGCATTGTAGTCTTTTATTTTCTGGTTGATCATGGGGCTTGAATTCTGGGCCCTGAATTTGGTGCTGTCCCTGAGCTCTTCAGCTCAATGTGAGCTCTCTACTACTTGAACCACAGTGCCACTTCCAGTTTTTCTAGTGGTTAGTTGGAGATGAGAGTCTCACGGACTTCAGCCTCTTGAGTAGCTTGGTTTACAGGTATGAGCCACTAGCGCCTGGTTTGCTTCTTAAAATAGAAAAACAAAAACTTAAAAAGTGATATAAAGGTGATGTACAGAGGGAAGGGTTACAGTTACATAAGTGAGGTTCTTTGCTACTTCTGAGGATCTGGGCTTGAGTCCTGCTGCAAGAAGTCTTCTGGGGTTGGGAAGGTGGCTCAGTGGTAGAGCGCTTGTCTTGCATGCCTGAGGCCCTGGGTTCGATTCCTCAGCACCACATAAGCAGAAAAAGCCAGAAGTGGGGCTGACGCTCAAGTGGTAGAGTGCTAGCCTTCAGCTGAAGAGCTGAGGGACAGCGCCCAGGCCCAGAGTTCAGGCCCCACGACCGACCAAAAACAAAACAGTACTTGAACTCTTTAAACTTTAAACTTGAACTCAGGGCCTGGGTGCTGTTCTTTAGCTTTTTCACCCAAGGCTAGTGTTCTACCTCCACTTCTGGCTTTTTGATTGTTAACTAGAGATGAGTCTCAGGAACTTTCTTTCTTGTCCAGGCTGGCTTAGAACCTTGATCTTCAGATCTAAGCCTCTTGAGTAGCTAGGATTACAGGAATGATTTTCTTTTCTTTCTTTTTGCTTTTCTATTCTACTTCTTGTGACCTTGCTTTCACTACTTCTCGTTTTTGGAAGCTGAATTAACTAACCTGCTGAAATGTGTATGCAAATAAATGCAGCTTGAAAAACATTGACATGAAAGAAACAGAGAAGGAATTTTGGAAGAATGAAATCATAAATACTATAAGAAGCAAGAGCTGAGATGAGCACTACTGACTCATACCTGTAATGCTAACCTCTTAGGAAGCCGAGATCTCGGGAATCACAGTTCAGAGCCAGCCTAAGCAGAAAAACCAGGCTGGAAGAGTGCCAGCTGAGCAAGTACAAGGGCTTGAATCCAAGACCCAGGACTAGCACAAAAAGAAAAAATAAAATAGGCAAAAACCAAAACAGTTGCCTAGGGCTGGGAATGTGGCTTAGTGGTAGAGTGGTAGCATGCATGAAGCCCTGGGTTTGATTCCTCAGTACCACATAATGAGAAAAAGGAGGAAGTGGCACTGTGGCTCAAGTAATAGAGTGCTAGCCTTGAGCAAAAGAAGCTCAAGGACAGTGCCCAGGCCCTGAGTTCAAGTCCCAGGAGTGGCAAAAAGAAAGAAGAAAACACCATAAAACAGCTGCCTAGCTTCAAAGAGTCTGGTTGGCTGACAACCTTCAGCTGTCCCAATAGCATTACCATGGAACATAGCACTCCAGTGAGCAGTTTGTTTCAACATTGTCTTTTTTTTTTTTGTCGGTCATGGGGCTTGAACTCTGGGCTTGGGCGCTGTCCTTCAGCTCTTCAGCTCAAGGAGCGCGCTCTACCACTTGAGCTACAGCACCATTTCCAGTTTTCTAGTGTTTTATTAGAGATAGGAGTCTCACAGTCTTTCCTGCCCGGGCTGGCTTTGAACGAAGATCCTCAGATCTCAGCCTCCTGAGTAGCTAGGATTACAAGCATGATCCACCGGCGCCCAGCAGCATTGTCTTTTAATCTATTGGGGTGGCAGACTCTGAGATTTACACTGTTACTTCCTTACCTTTCTTTTTTGTTGTTGTTGTTGGTTGTGGGGCTTGAACTCAGGGCCTGGGCCCTATCCCTGAGCTCTTGTTGCTCAAAGCTAGCGCTTTACCACTAGGAGTCACTTCTAGGTTTCTGGTCGTTCATTCAAAGCAAGATTTCATGGTCTTTCCTGCCTAGCTGGCTTCAAATTGTCATCCTCAGCTCTCATCTTCCTAAGTAGACAGGATTACAGGCAAGAGCCACTGACACTTGGCTATTGGCATGTGCAGCTACTTGAATTCAGGGCCTGCATGCTGTCCCTTAGCTTTTTGGCTCA